GGTATAATGTCATCCCAGATCGCGATAAAGCTTCCGTCGTTCGCTCGAACGACTACGACTTACCCGGAATTTCGGTCGTGCCTGTGGCCTCCTTTTTATTTTTTATCGAAAATCTGTCTACCATTATCGCGTCATTTAGCTTTTCACCTAACGTCGCGCATTTCTACGCGAGACTCCTAAAGAGAATGGACGATGCGCTCTTAAAGACACGCGGAACGTTTGGTGCTCCGAGGGATTATTCCGGAGTAGTGGCGAGCAACCTACTTCGACGCTGCTTCGAACAAAATAAAATACAAATTTCTGGAGACCAAATTTATATTTAAATGACAGGAATAAGGTAATGTATTTCTATTTAATATAATACCTAATTCATTCAAAAATATATATATATATTCCGTAATACAGGGTGGTCCTCCAATTGTGGGGGTACAACAAATATTTTGTGTGCCATTTGAATGGTTTGAAGGAACCAATATATTGCAAACAATATTTCTCTCCAAAGGTTATTTTTTTCGGAGTTATCAAGGTCATCGATGTTTTTTGATACGTAACTACATTTTCCTTTTATTGCATCGTGTAACTGATGGAGAACTACATTCAGATACGTAAATAATATGACATTGAAATGTCCTTGATCTTGGAAAATTAAAGTTTTACCTAGAACTGACGTCAAATATCTTCGACCACGACTCCTAAATCTATGAATACAAAGAATATTTTTTAGCACACTAAAAATATCGATCAACAGATGTGTGTTGATATTATATATACGTTGCAAAATTTAGAATAATTCTGGTAAAACGTCATAATGAATCAATATTACCGTTTCCTATATTGTCTATACATTTCAACCTTGTCTTTAGAAATATTCCTGGAAAGGACTCCAAAATAACCATCGAAACGTTAAAGAAAACCTAAAATTGTATATTAGAACTCTGAAATATAAATATACACTGTGCTCTGTGTTTTAATTCGAATATTATAGCAAGCAAATACCATTGTAAACATAAGAATTGCTAAATTGCAAGTGAAACACACAATATACAGTGCTAGAAGTATTTATTTCATCGCAGAAATATTTCACATGTTATCGCTTATACATACGTATGTACCTCAGCTAAGATTAATATTGGGAAAATATTATTGGGATTATTATTGAGTGAAAGTATATAGCTTGATGTCTAGATCATCGCAAGTTGAATATAGACCAATATGGCAATCGTGCAGCTACTCGAGGAAATCCGCGACAGATTGAATGAAGAATTGTAAATATAGATACATTTACTATGCGAAGAGAAGCATGCGAATATTACACATATTGAATTCCTGAATAGATATTTGGATCGTTGAGGAAAAATTTTTCGTACGAGAGGGATTAGCCCTTAGAAGCCTGCTTTTCTAAATTAAATTTTTTTTAAATATCAATGTATTTATTATTTGAACAATTTTTACAGCTGACGTTTGTTTTGTTAACTTTTCTTCCAAGGAACATTATGCAATGGTAGCATACGTACAGGCAAATATTAAAAACGAACCAATTACAAGTGTACAATTCGATTTAACTCTTTATTAACTGAATTTCTAAAAAATTGTTAAAATCTAGGCGTTCATCTTGGTTTTATATCGTCTTATAGAGTTGTCTCTAACAAACTTCCAAAGACAAAAAGCTTGTGCTGCCATCGAACAATTAAAAACGAACTTCATAGCAGTGGACTTGAAAGTCACAATAGGTTTAATTAAACAATAGATTTAATTAATACAATACCAGGGGTCCTGGGAAAATATTTGAGCTCCATGCTCTAATTTAAAAACATTTCCTTCTTAATACAATACCATGAGAAAATTGACGGGACTTGTAAGTCCCGCCAGTAAATAAAGGGTTAGAAGTCCGGTATCTGAACTTAGGGCATTCAAGGATTAAGCCAATATACACGTAGAGTATAAATAATGCAACATTTACGCATATAATATGGCATTTTGTATTTTGCAAAGTGTGCAAGTTTAGCGCAAATAGCTTGTAAATTCTTTCTTTTTTCGATGAAGGGTGAAAGTGAAGGTGTACAATTGTTAGTACATGTCGTGTAAAACGTTTATTTTCTCAACAGACCAAAATTTTCTAAGCCTTCGCGACCAAGTAGGGGATCGAAACTGGCAAAAACTTACAGAAACTGACTTACAGAAACCTCAGATGGGTATTAACCATTTGCACTCGAGGCCTTTTTTTCTGGTATCTACCAGCAACTCGAGATGCTTTCTCAGCATTCTGTTGCCACGAATGCTAAGATTACATTGACTCCGAAAATGAGATCTCTAATTTGAAATTTGAGAATCAGATCATCTTTGCCTCAACGACAATTGAGTTCCAAAGAAATTAATCCTAAGAAAAACCTAGTGGTGACTGAGAGTCACCTCTCGAGTGTAAATGATTAATGCAAATCTGTTACGATATTCGTAGCCGTATCTTTCTTTTTGTATCGTTTACACAAAAAGATCTATCGTAAAAGTGTTTGTTCCATCAACGATGCGATATCGTCTTTCTTCCAATCTCGACATAAACCAGTACGTGTCAAAAATTGATCTCAGTTACACTGATCACCGACGATCATAGCTTTAAATCGACAACGTGTTTTAATATCATCTTGGTCGAGCGAACCCTAAAGACATCTATCGTTCTAATTTTCTATTTTCCCGTATACGAATTACGTAAACGTCAAAGAGCATCGACGAGAAACCGATGCGTCAGTCAACGTGTCAAGCAACATCAGTTCTCTCTTTGGGACATTCTCCGGTGGAAGGCCATCGAGCGAGCGAACGCGGACACGGGGCAACGGGACGACGCGATTTATCCCGTTCCTCGGGCAGTGTTCGAAGTTACCTACCGGGCAGCGAAAGATCAACGAAGGAAACAACGGTCGCGGACGACTGCGTGGCCGCTGATAGAACGGGGACGAAAAGCTGGTCTCTCGCGTCGCGAATCATTCACGCCGGCCGCGCATAAGCACGTAAGTCCATACTTGGACGCGTGCTTCCGTACGAATACGAAGTCCATAATGCGTGTGCGGTGTGGGAAGCCCGCGGAGCGCGTAAGGGGGGAGTGAGGGGGTTTGTATTCACCCCTTCTACATCCGTGGCAACACTGTGATGGTCCACGGGCGCAGCGATCAATGCCATCGTCGGTCCTCTATGCTTCATCCCCACCGACCTACAGTCGTCGCCATGACGACAGCATCCCTACAACCCCCACCGATTGGACCGCGATCGCCGCAGTGGGGGGGAGCTGGAAAGCCGCGAAAGGGATGACGGAGCTCCCCCTATCGCTCGCCGCAGCAAGGAATTCCGTGGGTGTGCGGAGGAGACGACGCGGGGGGATTTTCACCCTCTCCCGACTGCTCTCCTCTCCGCGCTCTCTGTCTCCCTCTAGACCCTCCCCTTACCCCCCTCGGGCGTTCCATCTCTGTTCCACGGCGATCGTCTCGTCGTCTGCGTTCCCCGTTCGTCGGCTGGCATGTCCTTGTCGCGTTCCCGTGTGCATCGGGGGTCAGGTGGGTCACTCCAGGTGGCTCTCGGCACTGACACGATACCGTCGACACGATTTCTGGATCGTTGATTAGATTATCACGATTCACCTGACGGAGGATTCGACGACCTACAATCGACGCTCCAGACCTCTCGCGGTCCAGTTTACGCGACCATCCTTAACACCTGTTTTCTTGGGATTGTCCCGATCACCTGGTCCATTAGTCGCTAACATACGAGGGTGGACATTCGTGCATAGACTTTGCGATGGTCTTAAGCTTTCACGTTGAAATCTTTTATCGATTGCAACGGGAAGTGCGAGATTCGTGTATAGTACTCAAAAGCACACAGGATTTCGCTTATAAAATTTTCCAATCCGTGTATCGGAACGATCTATGACGTATGATGTAGTTCTATGATATTCGTATGATAATCTTCGCAGCGTACCAGTCTATTGAGTAAAAATAACTATCCCTCTCTTCGTCATTCGAGTCACAAAAAAAGGATGCACGATTACTCGTAAGGTTGCAGTCTCCGGCAGTTGGTAATATTCTTTATCATCTTGTATAATCATCTTAGATCATCTTTTCTGTTTGAGTCTAATATAATTCTACTGCGAAAATGAGACTACACGTGCTACTGCAAAAAGTATAAGTATAACGTATTAGGTAGCGAGACACCCCCGTGATACGTTGACCCTTTTGGGTAGCAGGAAATGCACGAGCTGGGATAAGGTCGTTGCTCTCGCAATGGTGTGGCGTGGTCGGAGTTTCCACGAAAATTGATATCCGATTGGGAGCAGACATGGCCCCTCTGGTATTTTAGCCCAATTTTCAGTTATAAAAGGAGCATGCATGCGAGCCCGAGGGACCAATCTGATCTAATTTGTTGGGATAAGGGTTAAGCGTTAAAATCGTTATTGTTATAAAAGAATCAGCGATGCAAGATCGAGTTTTAGGTTGTGGTCTCTTTCGAGCATTTGGTAGCCAAACAACGCGCAGTTTTACTGTCAGGTGTTTCAACTGTACCTTTCTCAAGCCAAAATCGACAGATAGCCTTACTTTTTGCTGGATGACATATGAGTATCCCAAAAACCAAACGAATCGACGCAACTTCAGTCTTTTCAAACTTTTTAATTTTAACCAAATTTATCGAATCACTCGATCGTTAACCACTCGAAGCGTGTTTCTCTCGGACTCCAACAACACACTGTACCAAAGACGGAACTGTTATAAACATAATTTAAAGTCAGATTTCGGTTTCATGTGATTTCATGTTTCGTTCATTTTACTACTTGATCGTTGGCGGATAAAGCCAGAAAAGTCCGAGCTGCTGTAATTATAGAAAATATTATAACCTTGTATTATATAAAAAATATTACAGTAATGTCTCCATAACTGCACAAGCTCGGGGCTGTCCTTGTGCATTTATCGTAGACTTCGTATATTCTCTGATATTCGTCGACGACCTTCGAACGTAGGAGAATGACAGCGATTAAAGAAGACGACGAAGCGAAAACACCAGGATATATCGGTGAGACAATTTAATGCAACGATGAAACTTGTTTATTATAAACTTTCTTGTTATAAAACATTTGTCATCATATTTCTGACATTTTTCTGATTAAAATGAGACCAAACGCGATATAATTCGGACGATATTTTCCACTCGTCTTTTTTTTAGTTAGTGTTCTACGATATTTGATACATAATAAGTTGCCACAAGTACATACGTTGCGAATTACCGTCGTGTTTGGTCTCATTTTAATAAAAAAAAATGTCAGGAATGTGATGGTAAAAGTTTTACAACAAAAAAGTTAACCCTTTGCACTCGAGTAGTTTTGTTCTGGTATCTACTAGCAACTCGAGATGCTTTCTTAGCATTTTATACTGTCACGATCGCAACTAATTTGAGATTTGAGAATCAGGTCACCTTTACTTCATCGACACTCATTTTATTTATGAAACTTCGAGTTTTAAAGAAATAAAACCTAAACAAACATTATTTGCTGGTTGATTTACTGGGTGAAACCTGATGGTGACCGAGAATCACCTCTCAATAATAAAAAAGTTTCACCGTTGCATTAAATTGTCTCACCGACATACACTATGGTGTTTTCGCTTCGTCATCTTTTTTTATTCGCTGTCTTTCTCTGTATCCGAAGCTCGTCGGAAAACATCAGAGAATGATGGTTCGGTGCGGAATTCTGTGCAGTTATCGTAGACTTTGTGCAGTTATGGAGTATAACCTTCGAAAAATAACAAGCACAAAGGGTTAAAAAAAAATGTTGTTTCTGTTCTTTTCTACTTTTTGTTTCGTAGAGTTGATCAGTTTGGCACTTGAAAGTTTCCGTTATCTTATAAAACCGGTATATTTCGGAACAACACAGATTCTACGTGAAATTTGTCTAATTTTGATTATGGTGGGCACATGACGCAAGCCGACGACTGTCACAACTCTACGTTCTCGTAACTGTATTGAATTAAATGTTAACATGATACCGTCGACGCGATCTGTGGACCGCTGATTAGATTACAACGTTGTACCTGACGGGAATTCGATGACCCAGAATCGAGGATCTCTCGTGGTCCAGTTTACAAGATCATCTTGCGCCGTTTTGCGTCTCCTTGGGATTATCCCGATCGTTCGCAGACGAGTCGCGAGCGTGGTGAAGATGGTGTCTCGAACACATATAGTTAATTTCGAACTTCCCTGTGTCGGAATCTTCGTTAACAAGAGTTGACCAAACCTTATTCTCAATGTATAATAATAGGGTGAACCAAAAGTTCGTGCGTTTTTTACGTTATTTCAGTTTGTGCAATTTTTTCAAGTCATTAAAATTACTTTAATTAATTTATTACTTTATACAATATGTTATATATCATATTGTAGCTTTTGAAAAGCTCTTTCGTACTTAATTATTAGCTACATTAATTTATTGATCGTTTAACTCTTTTTTTAGTTTTAGTAAAATCGCGGAAAATGTTGAGCTACTGAAGCAGCAAAGAAAATATTATACACAGTGTGCTGCAACGAGGAGGTAGCTCCATTTTTTTATGGTCTCGAGGTTAGAACATAATCACGGATTTAAAAAATCCCTTTTTTTCGTGGCGCGACAAGGACGCAGCTCCGGTCACTAGAAAAACTGACGATGTCAATTTAACGGAGACAGAGCAGGAAGAAAAACGTATTTTGCACTAATTTTACGATCTTTTGTTTGTATTGCCAAATATTTTAAGAATAAAATAAACACGTGTTTCAAAAAAGAATTTTGTTCTTTTCGTTCGAAAAGTCCCTTAAATTCCAAGTGTTTCTTTAAAACGGAGCGCAATAAGGAGGCAGCTCCAAACATAAATTATCCCCCCCCCCCCACCAATTTGAAAAGGAAGGAATGGAATCTGGAATAATATAATTTCATGATTAGGTGTCTATGCTATGATACTAAAAAAAAGAAAGACAATTTTATAAATCTGAATTTTAAAGCGTTCTTTTAAATTTCCAAAAGTTTGAAAAAATAGAGCTGCCTCTTTATTGACGCACGCCTCTCAATTGTCAAAGGAATTGCCCACTTCAACTTGTCAATCGCGTACCTTGAGAAACAATGTTTCGTACAATATAAAATTAACTAACGTTTCCCAGTTACCATCTCGCGATTTCCAAATGACGCGACGGTCGCGTCAACGGGATGTAAACAGCGTTAGCTCGGGCAGCTCGCGTCGGGCACTCGCCACACACGCGCGCAAAATGTGGCATGAATCAGAAAGAAGCGTGGGCGTGTGCGAGCTGTCCGTCGGGGGTGAGAAGAAGACCGAAAGGAGGGTCGGTATAAGGTGGACAACGCGAGGGAAAGTAAGAGGCCGAGGGAGAGCGGCGCGGAAAGAGAGAATCCGCGAGAGCGAGAGAGCGAGGGAGGGAATTCGATCCACCTCCAAATCGAGTTACGCGGCCTGTTGGAGATAATGATATTTATGCGCGTCAAGTGTATGATGTGTGGTCCGCCGCACATGGTTCACACATATGCTTCTGCGGAGAGCCGGCAGAACGACAAAAACACTACCAACTACGAAAATGTGTTGCCCGCTCGTCCCGTGAGAACGTATACTCCGGCGGTTGCACGTCTCGCGATACTTGCTCCAAAGATTTTCAAGGTTCTCCGTACTTTCGCGTACACTTCCTGCACGATCATTCCAAGGCGAGCTTGGAAACTTTGGAATTGCGATAAACGTTTCCCGCGGTTACCGAAACCACTTTTTGAACCATTTAGTTTTTGACATCTGGGACGAGAGAGGAAGGGAGTTAAGGGTCAAGATGACCAGGCCTGGATTAAGGGGCGAGGGGGGGGGGAGGATATATCTAAGTCCTAAATCCTCAGTTCTAAGCGATTAGCTCCCTCTGTTTTCATTCAAAATGTTGCATCAAGTAAACTATTTATGAGTTCCAAACCTTTGGTTTTTTATTTCAATTTTTTCTTATTTGGTAAATATTCACGTTAGGACCATCTGTGGTAAAAAAAATCAGCCCAATCGCAGAGTACCTCGTTTTCTTCGCCCTAACCCATATTTTCGTTATTTAATCAAAGTATTTAATAATAATATTATCATTATTGAATATAATATAGAAAATTCAAAGAATCAGATTTGTACCGTACGAAACAAATTACAAAACGAAGTACAATAATAATTATATACACATACACATCGGCAAAATTTAGTCATTGTTTGTTTACATTGAGAATCTTCTGACATCAATAGACTCAATTTGGAAATATTATTAGTTAAAATGAAATAGATGTTTTACATCGCAACAAAATTATTTCTTACTAAATGGTCTTCTTGCTACAACTTATTAAATCTGCTAGTAAAACCAAAGGTTATGAACAATATATTAACGTATAATAAAACTGTCAAATACTACATAGTACAAGAAACTGCGATTCAATGCTAATTTTATGAATTTTCCTTATTTCAGTAAATGTAGAACATATTCTAAGCTTGCATTATATTGCATAAATTTGTTGGAACTATACCAAAACAGTTAACTATGATTTTCGATTGTTGTGAATTATCTAAATAATAAAAAATATTTTTCAAATAACTTTTTGTGATTGGTTCAGTCTTCTCCCATCCGTATACCTGTTTGTCGTCAATTAACCTTTATACCTTGTGCCTGCTAATGTTATTTTTGATGTTAAAGTGCATACAGTTAGAATGAACACGTTTATCGTGTGTGTTTGCAAGCGCACAAAGCATGGCGTGGCGCAAAAAGGGAGATCCCCTCGAACGGTTGGCGATGTAGTATACTACGTAATGTAACAAGTATGTACAAAATGCCTGCCTAACATTCGCTCGCGTTCCGCGCAAATATGATCATGTTTCACCTTCATTCAAACAATGTGGTTGGTTAATGATGAAGATACCTGCGTATGTATACACACTTCGGATACATACTATATATTTGTGGTCTGATACACGAAATCCTCTTTACTGCAACATCGTACAGTGGACGAAATTTGTATAGGGGCAATACGATAACGTCTCCATGCTAATCACGATTATTACGCTGACGAATCCTTTTTCACTAGGCAACATAGTGATTGATTTTTTTATATTTATCAATTATCTATAATATATGTCATGGTTATTTCTGTACTTTCGTACATTATTCCCAAAAATCTTTAACACATTAAGCGCTTGAACATTGTGAGAATTGAAAAGAATATTGAGGATTGGAAGAATTGAAAAGAAAATTGAAAATTGTAAGAATTGAAAAGAAGATTGAAAATTTTAAGAATGTTCACCGCGGGAGGAGGAGATATAAAGAAAGTATAGTTTCTTTAATTTGGATTTGCCGCGCTTTTCATGCTCCGCTGGATCAGTGCCCTCGATCGATACCCGCTAGATGTAGCGTTAAGTGTGATAATTGGAAACGTCAGGAATAGACATCGAGTGCTGATTAGAAAGAGATGGAAGGAGAGATTATATAACAGAGCACGTGTGGACGAGAATATACGGAGAGATAACATTAATAATAATTAGAAAGATATCTAGAGTGAAAATAGCGAGTGTAAATAAAGAAGCGATAGTAATAGAATAAAATCTTCCCTTGATTTACAGAGAAACTCATTATAGCATTTTGTCTTATATGTATACAGGGTGGAAGTTACAAAGCGTTACCGTCAAACATTTCCGAGAATATTGATTATACGCAAAAATGTTTCAGATCAGAAATGTATATTACGCAGAAATGTTTCAGTCAACTGTCTTCTTTGCAAATGATACGTTTTTTATCCACCACCAAATAGTGCGTTTTAAGACGAATTAAACGGCCTATGACTCAAGGTCATTCAAGGTCAAACTTACAGAGAAATAGATAAAAGGTTTGTTCGTTTTATTGATATTAAATTTTATTGATTTTAATGATTAAAGTATCAGCATAATTATGAATTACACAGATTGGTTTGAGATTTGATTTTTTTTCTCCCTTGGAATATGTGGTTGAGGGAAGATTAAAAGTTTTAAAGTTTTCCTTTTTAAATGAACGGTAAGTGTACCTTTGACAGGCACAGAATTAATTTCTACACCTTATACATAGACTACTAATAGAAGGAACAAAGAATAATAAAGAATTATTATCATTGTTCAGATCCAACAATGAACGCAGTAGTTGCACGCTTGTAAGTGTTAACGCGTTAAACGCTGAGTCTACTTTGTCTTCATTCTATTCGCGCCACTTGTATGCTGCGAGCCGAAGAGATACGTAAGGTTACACTGTTTCAATATCTTCCATAATTTTCGAGATATTCGGCTGAAAAGTTTTCAAACAAACACCCTGAATAAATTCATCAGAATAGGAATCAGATTGAGAACTTCGAAGGTTGGTAATTTAACGTAACAAAATGTCAAATACAGAATTAATGTCTACGCCTAATATCATACGAATGGAGGGTTAATATTCAACGAGGACTGCGTAGCCCCTGTTTAATTGTACGTCGGAATATGTAAGAGGAGACATTGTACATCGGGAAGCGTTAAAATAATTTTTGCAACGAAACAATATTTTCTATCTCGGACAACGTCACTGGGTAATTCAGCCGGCGACTAAATAAACGAACATTGAAATTCATGTACTCGTGGGCAACGCGTGCAAGGGATGCAGTCGCAGAATAGAGGAGACACTAACGGGACGCGAACGCGAGTCGGGTTATTTTTCCGGCATTGTCCTTTTCCCTTTATTACGAGAAGCTTTGTCCCTCCGCTTTTTGATACGAGTCGTGTACACGTGTACCTTTATACCGTCGGCGACTGTACGAAATCTTAACCAAAGGAGCGATATCATTATTCCCGCGTTTAATCGCATCCCTCTCGCGACCTTTAACCACCGCGATATTAAAAGCCCACGGTCGGAGAAAACAAAAGAAAATAAACGCAACGCAAACGTTTCTCCGGTTACGAAAAAATTGTTTCCTGTCGCGACGAAACGACCGCGTTAGAAACGTCTGAAGGCTCATCTCCAATTTCGAGGCATCGCGACGCGTCTCTCGCTAGTTTGCAATTTCAAACGTTCCCCGTGCAAAGGTTGACCCTTTGCATTCCACTGGCGCCGACACGGCGACGTACGTAATATGCACCCACACTCGGCTCGAGTTTTATACGTGTGCTCTACAATTCGGTTCGAGCTTTATTCGCGGTGCAGCACGGTTAGCCGAATTAGTCGGGAGAAACGGACATTCGGATAAGGGAATTTTCGAATAATAGAAGATATTTTGTAATTTCTTGACGTTGATTTTCGTGTACTAAGTTGTCCAATAAGTTCCCGGGCACTTGCTACCAATAAATTATTTTATAATAATATTATAATCAAACAATAATTATTCTTCAAAATAAATACCATCGCTTCTGATAGTTTTCGTCCATGTTTTTGCCAATTGTTCAATTCCGATTTGGATCAAATGTCATAAAGAATTTTAATGTCAAAAATTCAAGCATCAAGTGTCCGAGAACTTATGGGACAACCTAGTATGTATTTCAGAAAAACAAAATGTAAATAATGATGATATAAAATAAATATTGAAATTATATGCATGGTGAATATTTGTTCACATTGTGACGATACAAAAAATATTTTACATGCAATTTGAACGTCACGGAGAGACCCACGCGCTGCAATATATTTTTAGAGCAGAATTCAAAGTCATCGATGTTTTTTCGCTTCTAAATGCGTATTTTCTTTTTATCGCATTACGTAGCTGACAATACGCTAAATTAAAATACGCTCAGATCTGTATAACGACATGGTGTTGAAATGATACATTACTCGAAATATTGAATTGAAATAAAAAATTGATGTCTACCGAAGGCCACAGACTTCTACAATGACGCAACGAGCGAGAACCTGTAAATGTAAACAAACATTGTTTATAACGAAGAATCAATAGTATCAGAGGACATTGAATACGAAATAGTTAAACCTTAGAAGCCTGATTTTCCAAATTAAATTGAAAAAATATCAATGTATTTATTATTTAAACAATTCTGACAGCTGCCGTTTATTTTTTTAATTTTTCTTCAAAAAAACATTATGCAATGGTAACGTACGTACAGCCAAATATTAAAAACAAACCAATTGTAATTGTACAATTCGATTGAAAAGTTCAGTATCAAATTTGGAACTTAGAGCATTTTGAGGGTTAATACTTGTGCTCCTATTAATCCTGAGACACTTGAAAAGATAAAACAGTCTCTTATTATTCAATTCAGACGATGTAACGTCAAATAAGGTAACAATTTCGAACATCTCCTGTAATATTACGAAGATAACTTAATAGAAAGTGAGTGATTGAATACGATCAGGCTTCTGATTTCTTAGAAGTCACTCGTAGTGCGATCATAAACATATTTGTTTACATTTACAGGTTCTAGATCGTCGCAGTGTCACACAGAAGTTTACCGTATTCGATAAACATCAATTTTACGTTTCAGATCATATCCAAAATCATATTAATAGACACCTGAACGTATTTCATTGTTAACTACGTAATGCAATAAAAAGAAATATGCATTTAAAAGCGAGAGAACAATTATGACCACGAAATTTCTTTAAAAAATAAGATATTAACAAAAATATATATTGCAGCGTATAAATCCCTCCATACTGTTCCAATTGCATGTAGAATATTTTTTGTATCATCGCAATTGGAAGAGATATTCAGGGAGCCTGATTTAGGCATGGCATTCTATATAACTTTTTGACACATGACAAGCCTAGAAAATGGTACTCAGTTTTCTTTAGATTCTGCGAATCACCGAAAAACAGCGCTGTCTAAGGTTTCATTCTCTAGGGCTTTCACAGTTTTCCAACTAGTAGAAGCCTGTTGAAAATAATGTCAGCTTTTTAATGTCCGTAATTGTTAACCTGACGATACCATATTGTTTTTACTAATGTAGATGCACTTCATCAGTCTCTAATTATTTTATATTTCATTCTCATTGTCAGCACCACATCTTTCCATTACACCATTAATTGGGTGGCATTAAAAGGGGACACTAGGCTGTGTTGTGATAGGTTACAATGATTCGCTAAATCCATACCGATGAATGCGATAAATCGTATCGTGTGCAGAACCCTGCAACGTTTAGACTAAGCGAACCTTGCGCTCATTTTGCTTCTCACCGTGATTTCTAGAATTCTACTAGTCACAGCTTAATAAAATTAGACTCATTATTTTTGTTATACTTTAAGCTTTAATTTAAGCTCAGTTGCATCCAAAAATGTTAACTTTTATGCCCGTGGTGGCTTTGAAAATGTACCGAAAAAAGGGTACAAAAAGCACTGTTTCTTTGCACAAAATGTTCCTTTTCCAGAAAACCATTAAGGATAGGCTTCTCAAATTTTTTATATAGATTAATACGACACCTGAGGGCATTTTAGTCGTTTTATTTCTCTGTCTAAAGTTGAAAATAAAATATGAAAAATCATATGCGCATGACACACAAGATCATTTTTCAGTACTTTCGTTTTTTTACAACTGCAATTAAACTAATCAAATTTTCAACTTCACGCATCACTAAGTTGTATTTTCAAACATCGATAAACAAAATTAAAAGAAGAAAAATGACAATCGGTTAAGTGATTTTTCAGAAAAGGTACATTTTGTGCAAAAAGAGACAGTGATATTTGTACCCTTTTTACGGTATCTTTCAAAAGTCACCACGATCATAAAAGTTAGCATTTTTTGGTGCAACTGAGCTTAAATTTTATTAAGCTGTGACTATCAGAATCGGGGAAATCACGTTGAGAATCAAAACGGGCGCATCTGGGGGTTCTCGCGCTAGTCCAAACGTTCAAGCATCCCTCAACGTCGCGTCACGATCGAAAGGTATATATAATACTCGAGATGTTTGTTGATAAAAGCACAGAGACACTGTAAGCAATCACTCGCACAGGTAACGGTATCTCCCGCAGATGTGGGTGACACGCGAAGAACGTCTGGGCGGTGGAAAATACGCGTGCGGTCGTCCAGGTGTTGAACCGGTGCCGGTGGCTCGATTCGCGCGAACCACCACCATTGTCTACGTCGACGTCGTTGCGCTTTTCAATGAACGACGCGCGCTGCGCGTCCCTGCACCGCAAAGCGCGTAAATATTTATCGCGGATAATCCGGAGCTGCGCGAGTTTTCCTGTATCGCGGCGTGGCCTTCTCACTCGGAACTTTTCCTCTCTGTTCGCAGCATCCCTGGCTCTCTTGCTCGCTCGCAGCGGCTCTGACCCTGAGGGACATTCCTGGCATGACGCGTAAGGTTTGTCCTCATGGCGAGAGACGAGGAGAGCCAGACGACGGGGCAGAGAAGAGCTTAGGCTGGTGAGCCACGGGGTTTCGAGCACGAAGTTTACACATTGTCATTTGGGACACGGTGAGACAGAGGAAGGAAACAACGACGAACGAAGAAAACGAGAACTCGGGAAAGCGAGAGGGTTGAAATAGACGGAGCGAAAGAGATCGCAGGGGAGAGATGCGAACGAAAGAGAGAAAAGTAGAAACGGAAAGCGGAAGAGAGCGAGGGCGAGGGACAGAGGGTGGCGGAGGAAAGGAGAAGGGAGAAATTTTAGCGAGGGGTTGGATGAAAGGAGAGTAAGCAGAGGCGCGGAGGAAATAGAGGAAGAGAGACGTCGGGTCCTTGGTGGACCACCAGGATCCATCCCCACGCAACCATCGTCTTCCGTGCAGGGGTTGTTTCGATGGAAGGGATACTCAGGGGAATGTTAGAGGGGTGGGGGTGCTATATAAGGCTGGCGTGAGGGGGGGAGAGCTCAGTTCGTCCAAGAGAAGCGTATCGTTCACGTCGTTTGGACGATCGTTCACGAGAATCCCACGGAGCACGGGACTTGTCTCCACACACGCACACGGACCCCGTGCTTTTTCCCCAACGAAAACGAAGAAAGCTTCTCTACCTGCCGCACGCCGCCGGGACGGGGACTCCGCAGAGATTCAAGGTGTTTCCGACCTCTTGGCGAGCAAACAATCGTGGCGGCCGCAATGGGTAAGTACATCGTCGTCCAGCCACCTTTTTACATAACCTTGGATCGTGTTCTGGGCTATATGAAAGCCACACAATGACGAGGTTCAGCTGCTGAGAATAGAGAGAAACGGGGAACGGGCCTGCCGAGTGCGAGGGACTGGGTTATATTTTTCCAACGGGGATAGTTCGAAGGTCCGCGTATTCTTCGGTCCATCAGCGAGATGAATGGGATAGAAACCAATTTGGATACGCAGTTAGCCGACGATAACATTTTTATTTAGAATATTACACGTCTCGACTTCTGCTTTAAAAATTTTATCGATGGTGCGATTTAAAAATCTAGATGAATCTTACGGATATTGGACTCCGACAGGTTAAAATTGAGCGAAAATTGTAACTTTGGCCGTGCGGTTGATGTATAAGTTGACGTCCGGTTCATTATTCGACGGGGAGGGGGGAAAGGGTGGCGAAAGCAATAGTAGTAAAAGTCAAGAGTTTAAAATAATTGCCCGTATAGATACGTAATCTATAACTAACATCCAAGTTCGTTAAAAGAAAATGTTTCTCGGTATGTGAGAAAACAATTGATTTACACAACTATACTTTCATAATTTTGCGCAATTTTTGTGCGACCATTCTATATTTTAAAATATATACCTACGTAATTATAGACGTACAACCTAAATCAGAGATCAAAGCGTGTGTTATTCCAAAATTTTGTTATCGAATAGACAATTGTAATTTGAACGAAGTAAAAGTTCACCCTGGAAGTTATGAATGTTATTCGATTACGCGTTGGGGGTTAATATCAGATGTTGAGATTCCCGTTTGACACGCGTCAGATTCCCTTCGTTGAGCGGAATTATCGAAGCCCGACTGGAATTATCGATTGATCGATTGAGCTGGACCCTGGCTGCCACTACAAAAGACGTGCGTAGACTCTCGCTGGGCTCGCGCTACACCCCTTAACACTCTTCGATTCTAGCCAGTTCGAGACCGTTACTTTTTTTTTGTTTGTGTGTGGAACGAGGTAATACTCGTGTACCTTCTTGTCTGTCGATAACGACAATTGTCGAACGATTTCATCGACGGTATATAATAGTGTCGTAACCTTTCATGTTGTGTTATGAATACAGTGAGCCTCTACTTGCGCGTTTGTTGATTTGTTCCACAGTTTCCACGTTTCTCCCATTGTATGAGTACGATTAAACGATCGTAAGCAAACCGAGCTATGTGCGCCACTTTATACGAACAAAATTGAAGAAGAAAATATTTCTAGAAATTCCTAGAAGGTCTGGAGAGAATTCGGATTCGTCGATTCTTGAGAACACGGTTCGATTAATTTTTAGGGCTCTTGCCGAATCTCGATATTTGAATTTCTGTGTCGTCTAACGATAAGTCGATATAAGTATACAAACACTAATATACTTAGAGATACACTAATAGAGTTTATTATATATATAATATACACTAATAGACTACACTATAGTATACACTAATAGACTACACTAATACACTAATAGAGTTTATTATATATATATATATAATATACACTAATAGACTACACTAATACACTAATACAGTTTATTATATATATATATATATATATATATATTTACTATATCTATAATTAATACACTAATAGAGTTGTTTATATCTTGCAACGAACCGTACGTTGACTCGTCTAGGCTTGACCAGACAGAAGTAAATAGCGTGAGATTAATCTAATAATAGTGCTAGCGACGCCGAGAGGACAATTGTTATTTACCGTTAAATTTATCGATATTAAAGTTAATAATAGAATCCAATATATTTGATTGGCGACCGAAATTGGAAAACTCGCGTCGAAATTAACATTGTCGACCGAGGGCCATTGGAACGTTGTGCAATTCGGTACAGTTGATTGATTGCATTGTATTACCCTCTCGATTCGATGAAAAAATGGACAAAACTCGTACGGGTTATTTGAACTTAAAATAAGATCGTTTTTCGTGTGCTTTCAATTTGAAATTGACAGATGTACCGAATTACGTGTTTGCCGAATTTAAGCATAGCGGTATTTTCCTGGAAATTTTCCCGCGATCTTTCGATTCCATTAGAACGAACCCTCGGCAGGGAACGAAAAGGAGACCTTTCCCGCTTTAAAAGTCTGCCATCGAGCGCCATTTAATCGTACAGTAGCGCGTTGTATCTCCGTGCAGCCCTAAACTAAATGAAATTTAGGGAACAAATCTAAAAAGAAACCGATAATTCAATCTTACTTCGTGAAGACACTGAAACAAACAAATTACGAATTATTTGAGAAGTTATATAAATATCTAATTTAGAATAATAAATCAGACATTGTGGACGTATATGTACCTAATTTTATAAATATGTTTTGTATTTAATTTGAATTTTACTTTTTGGACCGAGAAATTTTATGTCAATATATAATAATCAATTGAATTTGTTAAATCTCATTTTCAATTTGTACATTTCCAAATAGTTTTTAGTTTTCAAATACTCTACTATTTACCTGGTTAAATCGGTATAGGTCCTGTTAATTATTTTAAATTTCTTTTGTATATTATAATTTCCTAATATTCTTTTCACACGAGAGGTTTACGGTTAATTTAAAAATTTTCGCTCAGAACGTTAAATGAATAAATCCCTTAACTTGTAACAGCTGCACCTACGAATATTTTTATAACAAACGTTCTATTAAATATTCTAGTTAAAACAAACGCCAGGTATACAAACTTTTTAGCTTCGCGAGGTAAATTTATGAAACATTTTACACGTTTATTTTATTTCTATACATATTCATGAACGTGAACGTTAAAAATACTAATTGTAAAATTAATTCAGCACAAAGGATATTCCTTTCTACCGATTAATTCAACAGCGAAAATGTTAACGGCTATTAACTCGATGGAATTTTATTTCACGACAGAGATTGTGTTCGCGAACTTTTATATAGTATAATATGCCACTGGGAACAGAATGGAATTCTTGTCTTGCGGGACAACACAACTGGTCGGTAAATAACAGCCAATGTACGTACTCGTTGCTAGGAGCGGCGGGATTAACGCGCGCATGTTCCACGCGTGATATAATATTTGCCAGCTGCGACAGGAAGTCGAGTAGATGAATATTTTCGCTGAATGAAATTGTCTGGCGTACGGAGCGCAACGTCCGTTTATAACAAAGTACTTTTGTTTCGTCTCTCTATCGAAGCGATTTTATTAATACGTCATCGAATTATTGAACACACCGAAGGAAAAATGGGTTTTTAAACAAACTGCAAACAACGAAGACTATTTCAGTATTCCATTTTTAGAATGTCTGTTTGAGACAAATGTGGAATTGGGTATTGCTTCTTTGAAATAGAAAAACTTTCTTTTCCCTCAGCATCTCTAAGAAATTGATCAATGGCTAACTCCAAGGAAGCTTCCAAAGTCTCAACTGACCTCGAACATTTTCAGATTATTCAAGATTTATTTTAATCCTTTCAGTTATTAATTTTTGCTTCATTCCATAACAAGTATTGTCGATATTCAGTGGTAATGTCACGTTAAAAACTCAACGAAAAGTGTTTGAATATTGCAATGTAGTATCCAGTGAGTAACTGTTTGCAACAGCTGCTGAATCTAAATGAACGTCACATGAAAACATATTTCAACTTTTATTAATTTTATCTATGCTTGGAAATATTTGATCCTATTCATGTAGCATTACTTAGGTAAAATAATCGAACTTTTTTTATCGTGTAGCGATTTATTTGCCAGGGGAATGAAATTGTCTGGTGTATGGACTGCGTTGCCCGTTTATGACGAATACTTCGAAAGCTGTGATATTAATATATCTGTTACCGAACTGGGTCAAACCTCGACGCGGGACAGCTTTCAAAACAAATATTTCAAGCAATCAAATGCTTCGACAGTTGAATGTTATTATTTCTGGGAACTTGTTCAAATGTCGGTTAGCCTGGCTTTGACCGGCCAGCTCCCAACGCTCGCGCAAATTTTCTTGTTTGTGGAAAATGGGCACGCGCCTTTTATACCTTAAAAGGCTCTGTGCAATCTCTTATGCGCGCTTTTGTTTCGGTTTGAAATGAAATTCGGCGAGCGAACAAAGTTAAACGACCGCTTTGTTCTCAATTGTGCGGAGCGAAATTTATTATTTCGGACAGATGGATCGCCATGGACTGAAAATACGATAGTATTTTCAAGTCGAGTTTAGTCAAAGCCGAGTGTTAGCCGCTCAAGGGGGTTTATCTTAAGCCGTTTGCTATTATAGATCGTTAATGAAGTTCCGTACGTTACCTGGGCCGTGCGAAATATCATAAAATTAAATGCAAAAGATTCCACGAAAGTATGAGTGCGTAATTTATGAAATATTTAAATACACAAACAAAATTTTATTCGAATATTAAACAACGAGTGGAAATACCTTGTTGACTCGCCACGTTTATTCGGTCAAATAGTTATTTGAACAAGCTTTTAGTTATCGAATGTGAAATTTAATTTTGTTCTGTAATTTAAATGGCCACTTTTATGTACAGATAACAAACGGAGTCCTGATACTAAATAAATCTTTAAATACATTATCTTTCTCATTTAATTTCTATGTATTGATACTGTGTTAATTAATACACCTCTTTCGTAAATTTTATATTATACTAAATTGAAGTAGCGTATATTATTTTACTTTAAGAAATGAATAGATAACCGCTACTTCTTACCGTTAAAGTGATCTGTTAATTTTTTATTCGTTATTCGGAATTTTTATTTAAAAATTCTCTCCGATGGACACCGTTATAAGTCCCGTTGAAATATCTTTCCCTTCAATATTTATTCGCGCCTCCCTTTCGGAGCAGCAGTTGGAAATTTCAGGTCGCGTCTCCACCTCGTGTGACTTAACTGAAGTATCCGCTTCGTAGGGTCACGCTGAACCCGCCTTAATCCTGTTAACCTATCAACACATCCAAAGCCTTTTACACCATACAAAGATATCTCCATTCTCAATCCCATTAAATC